TATATGTAAGTTTATTTCTACCATGGCACGAATTGATCAACTTTTGGGATATATCAGGCCTCGGGAACTGCACTTTTTAGCGGGCCTGTTTTACATTTTTGAAGATTTTGAAGAAAATATTCAACCGATTTTTTTGAAATTTTATATATAAGCTTCACTAGACCGACCGCGAAACCTCCTAACTTTTTGAAGATATCAGGCCTCAGCAACTAGACGTTTACTACGGGCCAAATATACATTTTTGCGTATATAAAGAGAACAAATCAACGAATCTCATTGAAATTTAATATTTGAATTCCTCGTATTAAAACAATGAACATATAAATTTTTTGGAAAGATCAGGGCTCGAAAACTGATTTGCGGGCCAATTTTACATTTTTCACCATATCTACGGAACGAATTGATGGAATTTCTTGAAATTTGATATTTGAGTTCTGGTTGTTACCGAAACTAACTGGCGAGCATTTCAGGGAATTCGGGTAACACAAAGCGAAATTCTACTAAGAGCCAAATTTACATTTTTCTAGGTATGTTAACTATAAGGTTATTAATGTCCTAAAAATTTAAAATAAGTATTTAACAGACATTTTCATAATATTCTGTAACATTTTCACTTAACTAGACAATACACATTGCGTTCGGTTATGTGCTGACCACATCAGATTTTTGTTGTATTGGGGATCATGTGCATCGTGAAAATTCAATTTTGTTTCTCTCTTTAATAAAATAATATTAGAATATTCTTATTTTTAATCTACTTATTTTACAATTGTTGAAATTTTTCATGTTATTATCTATTATATGATAATATAATTGTTTGTTATAATAAAATTTATATTATTATTGTTGTTGTTATTGATATTTGTTGCTACAATTTTATATTTTATGCAAGGTATAAATCGTGACGATACGTAGCAATGTTGTGTTGAATGTTAAAATGTGTTTTGATTTTTTTTTACTTCTCCTTATTTTAAATTTTGTAATTTTGTGATTATCCCATTGTATACAGGATGCTGCATCATTATTTTTACCGACCGCATTGCAAACAATAAAAGAGATTATGCGATGGCACCAAAATTCGGACGTTGAGTTTTCGGTGGAAACGTACTTCTCCATAGTAGGGAAGCATAAATAAACTCTTTTTAGAGAGGTGTCGGTTTGTCGGTCTGTGCGTGTACGGCCGATTTTACATTTTTGCGTATATAAATAGAATTTATAATTTAAATTCGGGATGTTTAAACAATAAAACTATAAATTTTCTGGAAAGACTAGTGCTCGAAAACCGAACTGAAGGCTAATTTTACATTTGTCATTGTATCTACGGAACCAGTTGATGGAATTTCTTTAAATTTGATATTTCAGTTCTGGTTTTTACAGAAACTAACTGGTCAACTTTTCTTAGAATTCAGCTGGCGCAAAGCGAAATTGAAGGGAAGTTTTTAAAAGGTATTATCAGAATCTTCTGTAACAGTTTCTCTAAATTAGGCAATATACAGAAAAAATTAGGCAATATACAGAAACTTTGATTAAACTTTATGAAAATTCATAAAAAATTTAAAAGAAAATTTTGGAAACTGTTTCCCTCTTTTTTATTTATAATTTGTTTCCCTCTTTTTTATTTTTTTATGTTTTCAAATATTTTAGAAAAATTAAAAAACACATATATATATAAATTTATTTTAGACTAGAACAAATAATTATTTGCTTAAATATTCATTTCAAAAATTAATACATAATTGGTCCTATGAAAAGGAACCATGAAAAGATGAGGGGAACAAGACTTAAAGCTAGAGTTAGTAACAATTTTATTTAAAATGTCGGGAGAGATTAAGTCAGTTTTCATAAGCTGAAAAATGAATAACACATCCGCGACATCATGTTTTTTGCTAGTGTGGGAAAGTCAATCAATTTGAATCTGGGATCGTAAGGTGGAAAAATGGAGTCTTCTTATTTAAAAGTAAGTTTCGTTGAGTTTCATAAAATAAAATGTAGAATACAAAAGATTTAAGTGGAAAACTTTGAAAGTTAAATTATTAAAAAATATACAGTGTTGTGAAAAACTTAAGCAACAAATTGTAGTTAAATAATAGCGGTTGCTTTTTTTTAGACTAATTATACAGTTTTGTTTTCCCAATATACAAATTTAATTTCTATTAGTCGTTAATCACTTTAATTTCAATTAAAAATTTAGCAATATTTAAAACAATTTATTACAATGCAACTTTTATCTCATGTTTGGTAGGGTATACATTTGAACTGCTGAATAAAGTAAATCAAAAAAATTATTTTAACATTGTTCTCATCTTCACTGAATATTTTTTGCATTGTTAATAAATTATCTGGACAAAAAATTATTGATGTTAATACACTAATATATACACTAACTAAACAATAATAATATTGTGTAACATAGTAGATATATAGGGTCAAGGCTAGTAAGCTATATTAAATTGAGTTTTTACTTTCTGTTTTAAGCTCTCTTCAATGAAAATTTTCCATGTTTCCCGGATACCTATATGCTCTCATAAATTTTTTTCTTCCAGTAAATTTTTACTTAGCATTTTTTTAAACTTCTTTTTATACAAGTAAATAACACTTATTTGAATTTTTTGTTTTATGGAGTTTTGAAGTGTGAACGACTAAGAATATTTTATGTGATATTTTCTTTTTAGTTTTAGTAAATTTCATTTATCTTCATATCTTAATATAAGAATACAATTTCTATACTAATTACTACATATAAATTCATACCTAATGCCAAACCTCACAAAGTTAAAAAAAGAAAATAAGTTAAGAACATTCTGTTATGTTTAATTAATATAAGTAGTGAATTAGTAATTGAGTTATGAAAGAAAAAACAAAATTAACCATAAAGGTGTTGGGGTAAACATACAATAAATATGTTATTTCATGATTTTATTTTCAAAAAGATTTTGGGGGGGGGGGGTTTATAATAAGTTCGAATACTAATGGAAAAACCATTAATGAACTAGAAAGAAACGTATCAAAACATTTCTTCTTAAATATTACAATAATTTTTATGTACTATAAACATCCTTTTCAAAAGAGTTTTTATTTTCAGATATGTATTAGATACTATAAACATCCTTTTCAAAAGAGTTTTTATTTTTAGATATGTCCTGCTAGCTGAAAACTGAGAAATGAATATTTTTCTTTAAATATACATTTTCCACGGAGTTTCCCAGAAATATTTGAAAGGAAATGAGAGCTCTCAATTTTTTCCACAATGTTGTTGCTAATTTCGCTGGTCCGAAACTTTTTAGCTTGACGACATTACTAAACAAGTCATATGTCGTTCATAAAAGATTCATTTTTATCAAAAAAACCTACCACTCAATAAAATGAAAATGACTTGTTCAAAAAGAATCAAATTATACTAAAAGAATCAAATATACATACATATATAAATATATAAATATACATACATACAATATTTTAAATTATTGTATATCATTACAAAAAATATTTACACACATATTTTATACTATACAAACATAAAAACTAACCTAAAATTTACGTTCTCTTCGTTATACCCGTACGAACGTATGTTCGAAGGATATACTAAATTTGCCTTAATTAAAGCTAAGAAATAAGGGTTTGAGATATAGCTTAAATGTATGTTTGTGATCAGCGTTTGAATTCTGAGTCGATTTAGCTTTGCCTGTCCGTCTGCCCGTCCGTGCGTCCATCCCAACGATAACTCAAAAATTATAATTGAGCTAAGTTCATCAAATTTCCACAAATAATTTATAATAGTAAATGCCAGAACTTTTTTTGAAGTGGATATGATCAGGATACTGGTTCGGGTAGCTGCCATACAACTTCAAAAGTTATTTGGCTATATTTCAGAAACTATAAAAGCTGTGATATTGAAATGTCGTACAAGTAAATATATAGGTTGGACCGATATGTTTGATAACAGTCGTTGAAATTTCTATTGGCTATGTCAAGAATTGATCAACTTTTCGGATATAAGGCCTCGCGAACTGGATGTTTTTGCGGGCCAATTTTTATATATGAAGAGAAATAATCAAGCAATTTTCATGAAATTTTATATTAAAATTTAAAGCTTTAAAACAATGAACATATTTTTTGGGACGATCACGGCTTGGGAACCAAACTAGGGGCCGAATTTACATTTTTTATCATATCTGTGAAACTAAGTGGTGGAATTTTTTAAAATTTGATATTTGAGTTTAAGGACGAGGGAACTTATATTTTTCTAGGCTCTTTCAAAGAACCAAATTCACATTTTTCTAGGTATGTTAACTAAAAACTTACTGACGGAAAGAAGTATTTAAAAGCCATTTTTATAATATTCTGTAATATTTTCACTTAACTAAACAATAAACATTGCGGTCGGTTATGTGCTGATCACATCAGATTTATCTAATTAATGTAATACATTAACGTATTTTTTATTTTCTTTTGTTTTTTGCATGCAAAATATTATTAAATTTAGCATACAAATTGAACTTGCAATGGTCATTGAAATATTTTATTATAATATTCTTGCTATTGTTGTTTATGTCACTATTGTCGTAAACACGTATAAAAACGATCTGTACACGCGTAGTTGCACATAAACGATTTTTATTAATTTTAAACTAGTAAAACAAAACAAAATTAATCTGTATTTAAAACCTGCTATAATGTGGAACTACAATGTACGTTGAAAATATTTGAAATTTATGAGTTTTTATGTATGTGTACGTGTTTTATATACACTGAACTTTGGAGAGAGTTCATTCATTGTAAATCGAGGACCTAATGTATGTGATATTTGTTTACAAAAAAATATGAATTTGTAGTTCAAGTTTTCTAAAAATTACGTAATATTAATGATTCTGACTTGAAAAATGGCGGAACTCAAAACACAAAATTCAGCTAATGATATGAAACTGCTCATCATTAAAATTCAAATTGAAAAAAATTTTTTTTTATTATTTATTAAGGAAAAATATTTAATTTCAACTTACCTCAATTTTTTTTAAAACATCAGTACATTTATGTGACGGTACCGTATTTCTAATATCAATAATAATATCATGATATTGATTATTGATAAATTTAATGGCCGTAATATGATTAATTTGAGTTTGTATTAATATTATTAAAAATAACAGTATGTTAATAGTAGTTTTAAATTTTTTGATTAAAAATATCGATTCCTCCATTATTGCCTTTCTTTTAAATTTCTCACCTTTGTTTAGTTTCACTTATTTTTTTCACTCTCGTTTAAATATTCATTTATTAAGTTGTTTTTTTTTGTTTGCAATAATTTTTACTGTTCTTAGTTTTTTTTCGACACAATAACTGTAAAAGAATATGAAAGAACAAAAAGTTTTATTAATGTAGAGTATACACAGGGTGTACTTTGTAAAAAGTACAATATTATATAAATACCATTTTGTTTAGATAGTCAAAAATATTGTTTTTATAATAGACTCTATAACGGTGCATATATTCCATGTATCAATATGTTATTAAATATTCTTTTCAAAAGGGGAGAACAAACTAAATAAATTCATTTTATATTTTAATAAAATTTCTCTTCGATTCCCCTACCCGCATTGACTCAACATTCTCTATACACAAAATGACTAGAAAGCATCAATTTCAATTCCATAATATAATTACCATATAATTTATTAACTTAACCATTCCGTCTCTTTCCTTCCTTTCTCAAATTTGAACGGTTCGGTGCACTTCCTTCCTTCCTAATTTCTCTCTCTTTCTTCTAACAATTTACGACTTTTTATACTCTATTCATATTTTCGCACAATTGCAAAGATTATAATACTAAAACTTATAAATACTAAACTATTGTATATATGTCTATAGTTATAAGTGGTATGCAAGAAATTATTATATTATATAATTTTGTATAATCGAGTAGATGTATAATAATATTGCGACCCTCTTTCATGTTTGCCCATATTGTAAATATTGTAAACTAAAAAATACAAAAAAAAAACGGTAAAAATGTCAGGTGAAAGAGGAACTATTACAGTGTTCAAAGCACCCATACATTCTTCCTTGTTCTTTATTAAATTTTATGTTTCAAATACGAGAAAAAAACCGAAAATGTATATATAAATAGAAGAAGGACATAAAAAATGAGTAAAAATAAGACCGAAGTCGACAAACCAAATATGAAAAAATCTGATGTGGTCAGCACATAACCGACCACAATGTGTATTGTCTTGTTAAGTGAAAGTGTTACAGAATATTGTAAAAAAGTCTGTTAAATACTTCTTTCCAATTTTTAGAACATTAGTAAGCCTATAGTTAACATACCTAGAAAAATGTAAATTTGGCTCTTAGTAGAGTTTCGCTTTGTGTTACCCGAATTGCCTGAAATGTTCGCCAGTTAGTTTCGGTAACAACCAGAACTCAAATATCAAATTTCAAGAAATTCTATCAATTCGTTCCGTAGATATGATGAAAAATGTAAAATCGGCCCGCAGATCAGTTTTCGAGCCCTGATCTTTCCAAAAAATGTATATTTCATTGTTTCAATACGAAGAATTTAAATATTAAATTTCAAAGAAAACGGTTGATTATTTCTCTTTATATACGCAAAAGTTGATCAATCCGTGCCTTAGTGAAATAAACTTACATATAAAATTTCATCCAAATCGGTTTAGCAAAACTTGGGATACACACGTGCACATACAGACCGACAGACCGATAGGGTGCTAAAAATAGTTTATTTACACTTCCCTACTATGGAGAAGTACATTCCTACCGCAAACTCTATATGCAAAATTAGTTGAAAACGGTTGATTATTTCTCTTTATATACGCAAAAGTGTATATTTGGCCCGTAGTAAACGCCTAGTTGCCGATGCCTGATTTCTTCCAAAAGTTAGGAATTTTTGGGGACGGTCGAGCAAAGCTTATATATGAAATTTCAAGAAAATCGGTTGAATATTTTCTTTAAAATCTTCAAAAATGTAAAACAGGCCCGCTAAAAAGTGCAGTTCCCGAGGCCTGATATATCCCAAAAGTTGATCAATCCGTGCCGTGGTGAAATAAACTTACATATAAAATTTCATCAAAATCGGTTTAGCAGAACTTGGGATACACGCGTGCACATACAGACCGACAGACCGACAGGGTGCTAAAAATAGTTTATTTACACTTCCCTACTATGGAGAAGTACATTCCTACCGCAAACTCTATATGCAAAATTTGTTGCCATCACATAACCTAGCTATTGTATACACAATACGGTCAATAAAAATGATATTTGTTTTTCCACAGTACCGCTACACTACGCGTATAATTCTTGTGTTTTGTTTATAATGTATAAGAAGAATATAACATCTAGCGCACAAGTGAAAAAATAATATAAAAAGAGTAAGAAAAAAATTAACAGATGTCAAAAAAATGAAACACTGCTGGTGCTCGCTAATAATAAAATAATAATAAAAATAATAATAACAATAATAATAATAATAATAATAATAATAAATAATAATAAAAATTATAATAATAATAATCCAAGTGGAAACTTGCAGATAGGACAAGGAAAGGTTCGAGAGCTGAGGGCCTGTTTATCGAATATTGCGACCAACCCTCCCAAAAAGGGGAAAAGGACAGAAAGCAACACTCCGGATGTAAAACGTCTGCGTCACCTACGTTGCAAAATCAATCGCCAATCTCTCCATAAACAAATTTCTCAGCAAAATAGGGAACCTAAATCTCAGCCTTAAGATGAGTTGCTGAAGGGAGGCTAAGGATGGATTAAGAAAAGGACGGGGGTTGCTCCATAGTCTTCTCCGTAGAGGATTCTGTCTTCGAAGATCTATGGAAAGTGGAGTTCCGATTTTTTCTGAACTCATCCTATCTCGCGGGACACTGTGACCGTCCACACGAGCATCTGAAGGATTTAGTGAGCTTCTGTGGAAGGAGAAACTTCCAACAAATAATAGGAAGTCATGCAAATTTCCCCCAAACCGTCTGGGGAAGCACCTATATAAACAAGAGCTGCTTTGGAAGCATTCGTTAGACTGCCACCGTTGCACCTGTAGACTGCACTCTTGTGCCAGAAACACGAGTAACAACTTACCGACTTGTTCCTGGTCATAATGACGCAGGGAAAAGATTGGCCACGGCACTCATGGAACTTTCATCAAGAGTAACCCAATTAGGATAGCAATTTCAGACTACTGTCTCCTGCGGTATAACTTCGACCGGCAATACAAAGTACTCTTTCTTGATAAACGCAGCTGGGGACAGGGTATCCCAGTTTTTGAGACTGGTTTTAGTGTTTAGTACACTGATGGGTTCAAAAGGTACTCGGTGGTGGGCTTGGGCGTGTATGGAGTGCGATGGGACACACGTATAAGCACGAGCCTGGATCCGTATTGCTCGGTGTTTCAAGCCGAAATATGCATTAGAAATATGCCTTAGAGTAAACTTAGTAAGGGAATACAAAAATCGCACCAATGCGGAGGAATAGTCGTTGTCCGGTGAAATATCAATTTCACAAAATGAGTAAATCAGACTCTTTTTTGTGTAGGTTCTGCCAAGATGTTGGATTCGTCTTTACACAAAATGTGTAGAGACGACTCTACACATTTTGTGTGACTATCCTGCTTTGGCTGTCAGGAGAAGCAGATGGTTTGGGCGCGGCTTTTTCAATATTGGTGAGCTCACGTCGAACTTCCTGAATGATATTTGCTTGAAATTAACTGAGCTTAAGTGAATCAGGAACTTTAAATGAAATTAGTCCAGTTACTTTTTAAGTTTTTTTGATGAAAATAGATTTTTTAACTTTATTCTACAATAACATTTTGATTTCTCGGATTGTATACATTTAGGTTGAATGATTTATGCAGTCTTTGAATTAAAGTGAAAATTAATTTAAAGAGGGGCTTACATAATACTCGATTTTAAGGGTTGTTTGTGCGAGTTAAGGAAAATAATTATATTTTTTAATGGCAAGAAATTTTTCGTTAGCTTTCTGTGTTTATAGAAATTTTTAATAGCTTGTCGTTACGCAAATACCAGGTCCCAGGTATTCAAATTTTACGAATTTTGAGAGGCGATAACTTGAGAGGGGGTGGAGATGTGAAAAAATTTTCTCTCAATGAAATGAACTATTTATGAATATCTAAGAGCTGCTAAAATTTCAGACTCCTGCAGCGTACGGTGTAAATGAAAAGCGCACAAGCTAGGGAAAGATTTTCTTCTACGGAAATAAGTCTCCAGTAAAGATCTATGTATATATAAAATTTCAGCCTTCTAACTTTTTTTCAAAAATTTTTTAGAAAAGTGCTAAAAATGGATATATAACAAGTAAAAATATCTATTGTACATTCATTATAAGAAAAAAACAGCTTAATTTACGTGTTAAGTTTTTAAAGAAGATATTTTTAAGTGCCCTTTGTTTTTGTAAAAACTAAATTTTCTAGGAGAAGCATAGGGCTAGTGCATGATATCATAAATAGTTATGCCAAAGTTTCATTGCGTCATAGAGTTTTAAACAAGTAGGCGACTAGCCCGCCGTATTTTATAGATATTGCATTAGTCTTAATGATAATATTGTTTAAAATATCGGTTTATATGAGGTCCGATTTAAAAACTCTAAAGATAGGCGTTGCATGCGCGATTTGTCAATAAGTCTTAGCCTACGCTTATAAGCGGACCACACTATATAAAATAAGGAGGATAAACTAAAAGAAAAAATGTTTGAAAAAAATGCTTATTAGCTTCACTGTGTCCATCCGTCCGTCTGTCCATGTGTCTGCTTACAAAAGTTCTACACCCTGAAAGATAGAAATTTAGATGTATTTCTTTACAAGAAATTTATTTCCGTAGGAGAAAACTTTTATCTTTCTCCCCCCTCTAAAGGTTGTACCCCCGCAGTATGTTGTTTCTTCTACCGCGGTATATTATACTTGTACTTTAAAAAAACAAAATTACCTTTAAAATTTACCGTTATCTAAAATTCGTTTTTTTTTCAAATTTTTGATGTCTTTCATCTTATTAAAAATTTTAACAGCTTTTAGACACTAATAAATGGTTCATTTTGTTAGAAGCAAATTTTTTTTCATCTTCACTCCCTCTCGAAATTTGTAAAACTTGAATTTTTGGCACCGAAACTGTAAGTTTTTCCAAATTTTTATGAATGCACAAGGCTTACAGTAAATGCCATGCAATTAAAAAGAATAATTATTATTCTTAACTCACGCAATTAACCCTTAGAATTTATTTGCCTACACCGACTATGTAATATATGTACATAAGTCCAAATAAAACACAGGCATATATATCAAATGCTTTAAAGATAATAATTTGTATTAG